AAAAAAAAAAAAAAAAAAAAAAAAAAAAAAAACAGTGGTGGGCCCCACAAGGACAGAGGAGTAAGGGGAGAAAGAAATTTGTTTTTTTTTTTTTAATTTTTTGGGAAAAGTGATAATAAAACATCATGCATATTCTACCTTTTTTTTTTTTTTTTAATTGTAGTAATTAAGTTTTTATTATAGAGGAAAAGTAAATTTTATTTATGGTTAAGAAAGAGAGCGGTAAAATGGTAAAATGGTAAAAACCAGTGAGTGAGTGAGGTGGGAGTTTAAATGGTGCATTATGAGAGAACAGTGGGGAGTAGGCGGGGGGTGGCAGGTTGGGTTGAATGGGTTGCGCTGCAAAGTACTTTTACAAGCCCCCACACGCCGACCCCTGTGCTCTTTACCTCGCCTCCCGCTGCTTCCCCCTCCTTTTTTACCCACACAAATTTGTCTCCTTCTTGTCTCTCCCTCTTCACTTCACTGCTACTAAATATCGTCTGGTTTACATTGTTATATATCATCGTCAGTTTCATGATTTTAAAATGTATTTTTTAATGAGAAGTTTCAATATTCTTATAAGGAATATTTCGTTCCCCTTTCTAATCGATGTGAGATTTCACAATCCATCCCTTTGGAGTCAACGTCCTCGTTGACACACTGTCCGGTATCTAACTCTTCTGATACCATTTGTAATAGTCTAAGTCCACCGCTAGTAGATATTGTATGTTTGCCCTCTCCAACCGATGTGCGATTTCACAATCCACCCCTTGGAGATCAGTGTGTTCGTTGGCACACCGCACGATGTATAGCTTTTCTAATACTATTTGTAACAATGTAAGCCTACCACTAATAGATATGGTACGTTTGCCCGCTTACCGCTAGTAGATATTGTATGTTTGCGCAGTGTCTAACTGTTCTAATATCAGTTCAACAGTGTAAACGCACAGCTAGTAAATATTGTTTGTTTTTACATATTACATATTATCGTTAGCTTTACGGTTTTAAAACGCGTATTCTAGGAAGAGGTTTCCCAGCCCTTTAATAAACATTTCGTTCCCCTTTATTTCTTACAGTCTAAGCTCACCGCTACTAGATATTGTCAATTTGTTCAATGTCTAACTCTTCTAATATCATTCGTAACCGTTTAAATCCACAACTAGTACATATTGTTTGTTTTGGCATGTTACATATTATCTTTAGCATTACCGTCTTAAAACGCGTCTTCTAAGAAGAGATTTCTATACTGTTATAAGAAATATTTTGTTCCCGTCTCTAACTAATCTGGGATCTCACAAAACATACTAAAAAGACACGTATTGACGCCGTGAAAGTGAATGAAAGGGTAATAAATTTGTTTCCAAACCAAGTAGATGGTAGGTGGCATATTTAGTGTAGAGGTAGGTAATTTGTATGCTACGGCAAGTGAAAGGAAGTAAAAAGTTAAAAGGTAAAAAGTAAAAAGTAAAAAACTGAATGAGGGGGAGGCTCTGACAAAAGTGTGGCAGGTCATAACCCATACCCTCCTCCCCCTCTAAGCCTTCTTCAGAGGCCTCAGTTCTGAACCATTTTTTTTGTGTGCAGATTTTTACTCTTTCATCTTCCTCCTAACATTCAACTCTCTTTCACTTTCCAAACCTAATATTTTTTCAATATCAATTTTTTATTTTTATTTTTTATAATCATTTAAAAAACTTTATTTATTTTCTTAATTTAAATTTTTTATTTTTCAAATTTAAATTTTAAAACCTACAAAATAAAAATAAAATACAGACCTTCAGATAAATATTTGATAGAGATATATTTAGTGAAAGATATTAAGTAAATTGAAACGACTAGTTTTTTTTTTTATCAGAAGCTTGTGATTTAGTTTTTGATGCAGCAAGTAGAGGCAAACAATTCTTAATTGTTGGTACCAAAAATAAAGCAGCGGATTCAGTAGTCGGGGCTTCAACAAAGGGTCAGTGTCATTATGTTAATAAAAAATAGCTCGGGGGATGTTAACAAATTGGTCTACTACCGAAACGAGACTTCATAAGTTCAGGGACTTGAGAACGGAACAAAAGACAAGGGGGACTCAACCGTCTTCTGAAAGGGATGCTGCTATGTTGAAGAGACAATTATCTCACTTCCAAACATATCTGGGCTGGATTACCCGGTATTGTAATAATCGTTGATCAACAAGAAGAATATCAGGCTCTTCAAGGATGTATCACGTTCGAAATTCCAACTATTTGTTTAATAGATACAAATTGTGACCCAGATCTCGAATATTTTGATTCCAACATTATCCAGTGCTTCCAAAATGGACTTTCTTCCTTCTCTTCAATAAAATCTCGAGTCGATAAATAATAATTTTAATTATTTTTTTTTAAGGTCGGAAATATCTCGAAGTTTGTTCGATAAGGTTCATAAAATGATTAAAAATGGATGAAATGATTGAACATCAAAACTAGAGATCTAAATGGATGATAACATGAATTAATATTTGATTTTTTAATCATAAGTTATGATATAAAAAAGAAGAGTATAGAAGGAAGAAGTATAATTATATTCACTTGTATAAGCTAATAATATTTGGTGGGTAATCATCTAATAATAGATGTAATTAGTGTTTTAGCTTTAATAATACTACTACTACTACTTCAAGCAATTTTTTAAGAATAAAATAATTAAATAGAGATTTAAAGAAAAAAACTCGAAATTCAACGACCTATCCTCCGAATTACTCTCAATTACTATTATGATTCAGCGACCGAAAAGCCAAAAAGCAAGGTGCACAATGTTGGTATAGATAATAATTTTTAATTATAGGAAGGTGCGAGGAAGCTGCCTCTTAAGGAGGTGGATCGTGAGATCCCACGTTGATTGGAAAGAGGAACGAAGCATTGCTTATAAGGACGTGGAAACTTCTTTCTAGTAGACGTGTTTTGATACCGTGAGGCTGATGATGGTATGTAGCGAGCTAAAGTTGACAATATTTGGTAGCGGTGAGCTTGGGCTATTACGATTACTCTAATAATTCTGACATAGTCTCCGTTCATTTATGTCACATGCTGTAATAGCTCAAGCTCAGCTAGCAAATATTGTCTTTTTTTTTTTTTGGGCCTTTCCATGCTCAAACTTGTTGGATGATGAAAGTTCCACACCAGCTAATTTAGGGAATGATTTATAAACAAAGAATACTGTCTCCATTAGTATGAGGCCTTTTGGGGAAGCACAAAGCAAAGCCACGAGAGCTTATACTCAAAGTAGACAATATCATACCATCGTGGAGAGTCGTGTTCGTCTAACATGGTATCAGAGCCATGCCCTAAACTTAGTCGTGCCAATAGATTAGTAAATCCTCAAATGTCGAACAAATGACTCCAAAAGAAAAAGAAGCCAAGTCTCGTCGAAAGCACGAAGGCAGTAAAAAATGACTAAGACTTCAAAGGAGTCGAGTCTCGATTAAGGGGAGACGTGTTTTGTTCGAAAGGAGGTGTTGGATGATGAAAGTCCCACATCAGCTAATTTAGGGAATGAACTCCCACATCGGCTAAAAGGGATCTCACACACGCCCACCAATTTATATGTAGGTTCGTTCTCAAACTACTACATCTTATTGAGAGAGGTACCGCTCTAATACCATTTACGACAATTCGAGTTACCTAGAGTAGCGTAAGGTAAGGAAATGTAGATGTGAATGAGTATTATATAAGAATAATATAATAAGAAAGACCCATAAAGTTTGGTACTTAGCTTCCCTACCATTCTCAAACAAAAGCTGTGTTTTTTATGGCAGTTTTTTGGAAAGAACACCACATGGGTGCCCTAAAGAACCCTGGTGTTTCGTGCTGTTTGTAATTTTTGTAGGGGAGGGTATCCCCTAAGTGTGAACTAAATTTAATTTAGTGCCCTTCTCTCCTCTGACATCCCTCTCTTTTGCTCCTTCCACAGGTCAACACTTAGGACACTTGGGGAAATTCAAAGGCTGCATCAACCAACTTCCCATCCTTTAAAAGCTTATTAAGCATGCATTCACTTCACTACTACTCACCTGTTCTTATGTGCCCTAAAATCGTGTGGCTGTCCTTTTCTTCTAGGGCTGTTCTTCAAACCTTGCCTTTGTTCTTACTTTTGTCCTTGTTCTATTTGTTTAGTATTTTCATTTTTGGAAGATTCAATCAACCTGTTCTTCTTCTTTTTAGACCTTATTTTCTTCTTTTTAGATCATATGTTGGTTGAAGAGAGGAACGAAACATTTCTTATAAGGGTGTGAAAACTTCTCCTTAATAGATGGAATCGTGAAGCTGATGACGATATGTTATGGGTAAAAACGAATAATATTTGTTAGCGGTGGATTTTGACT